TTTTTGTGTGAGTTAAATTTATACACAAATACATCTCATGTGCAGCATTTGATGGGTTTTAGCCAGAGCTTCAAACCAGTTCAAAAAGTTTCAGTCATGGCCTACAGAGCACACGTGTTGCATTGCAACCAAATTTCCCTTGTGTGTGGGATTCTGACCTGAGTAGAAAACACATATCAGGGACATCTTTGAGGGAGCAGAGCACCACTGCCTATTTCCAACTTGGGTCAAAATCCCACATGTAACAGATTTCATTGCTGTGCAACACATACGCTCCATCAGCCGTGACTGAACTGTTTTCCAACCAATTTGAAGCCCTGGTTTTACCTGATGCATACATCTGTATCAGTCTAACCCACATCAATACAGGGGCCATTGCCATCAGCCCAGAAAGTCTATCATGTTTTCACAAGGAAGAATCTTCCTCTACGAGCTGCTATGAGACAGTACACATACTCATAAACCTTAAACTTCTTGTGATTACAGAACTAAACTTCATCGCGTTTCCAATAAGCATGGGAAGCATAAAGATAGAATGCAGAGATTAGGAGTTTTCTTGAAAAAGCATCCAATCCAGTCCTACAACTTTAGGACTATCCCTAAATCAAATTTCCATAAAACTCCCTCGTGTAAAACACAGCCCTGAGAAGGGGATTCTGAAATCTTTCCTGGTGAGTGCAGTGGAATGCTTATGCACTTTGGGGCAGATCACAGACTCCATTGAAACTCTAATGAAGACGGTTCCAGTTTTCCCTATTTTGTCCTGTAACCCCACCATACTAATAGTAAGGGAACTGAAAATCTTTAAACCTTATACCAAAAATAGCCACTGAAGCCTTCTAAAACCAAACAACGTTGCTGTTAGATCCCACTGAGTCACCTCCAATTCCTAGTGACACCACACCCAACAGACCAAAACGCTGCCCAGCCCCAAGCCTTCCTCAAAAGCACTGCTAGGCCTGAGCCCATCATTGCAGCCACTTTGTAAGCCCATCTCCCTGAGTGTCTTCCCTGTTTTCGCTAACCCTCTACTATATCAAGCACGGTATCATTTTCTGAAGCGTGTTCCTTTCTGACCACATGACCAAGGTGGGTGAGATAAAGGCTGGCCACTCTCACTTCCAAGGAGCATTTCCAGCCGCACTTCCTCCAGGACAGATATGTTTGTTATTCTGGCAGTCCATGGTATTTTCAGTACTATTCACCAACACCACAATTCAAAAGCATCAACTCTTCTTCAGTCTTCCTTATTAATGTCCAGCTTTTACGTACTTACGAGGCAATTAAAAGTACCATGACTTGGGTTAAGCGCACCTTAGTCTTCAATGTGACATCTTTGTTCCTTAAC